GTCGTAGTGCGCCCTCATGGGGTCCTCTATCCGCAATCTCTTCGCAGGATTGTTCTCCTTCATCTCCATCTCATGCGCCTCGTGGTTGTGCGGTAAGGCATTGTCGCTGTTGTTCCTTCTTGAGCTGACGGCGAGTGATATTCCTGACCGAGATGCAATGGCTGGCTCTGAGAGGGCAGAGCTGGGAGTCTGCGTATCTAGGAAGTTCGATCTTTTGAAGTGCAACGGCAGACTGGTGGGCACGGAAAGTGGCGGGACGGGAATGTCGCCGGACAGCCTCAAGAAGGTGTCGCTAGTTGACGATGTGCTTGACGCATTAAGGTGCGGGCCAGGCCCCTTAGTATCGAATCTTTTCACAAGCGCACGCTTGTTCTTCATATCAAAGAAGGTTTCGGTGCTGGAATGGAGCTGGAACTGGTTATGGTGCAGACCAAACCCGGCCGAGATGCTGGGTAGGTGGTAGTTAGGTCTATGGAAGCAGAATGGTCAGATGGGCACCAGCTCTCGATATTCTAAGAGCTTCACCTTTTCTTGGAACCAAATGAAACAGCAGAGGGAAGTTAGGGCCTCGAACCTTGTGGAATCCGAAGCTGAAGACGAACCTGTGCTGAGATAACCCTCATCATTCCTATGAGCGGGCTCCGTGTATGGTGATCTGTAATGCGAACCTCCTAAGCCGTCACGATAACTGTACTTCCTGAGGCTGTATGGATTGCAGTAGGGTTGTGGTTGTCCGGGCTCTTGGTAATACGCGTGAAGATTGCCGAAGGGGAGTTGTGTTGGTGGTAAGGGCCGCGATGCGTTCATCACGTCTCCAAAAGCGGAAGTGGTGACAGAAAAAGAACTAATGCTAGGGACGAATCTCCCTGAGTATTCTAGGCTTGATTGTTCCAAGATACCAGGAAGATCTGCCGTCTCATCGCCTCTCGAATATGCCTCCATGATTGCGGTTCTCTTTGTGCACTTCCCAACTGATAGTTGAGGTATCAGCCGGAGCGGTGACACTCAAGTTGAGAGTGACGGAAGCGCGAGCGTCGTGGGCGTAGGACTAGGAGATGCCTATAGCGATCGCGGCTTGATACGAGAGGCGTCCGAAGGCAGAGTAGTCGTCAAAGACGCCGTGGGTGACGATGGCCGTCGACTTCTTTGAGTGGGAGCAAGGACCAGTGCAATCCGAGAATGGTTCTAGGCTCTGAGCTCGGCGCCGCGGTGCTGCTGCGATGTTCCGTAGGGCGGTAAAAAGCATGGCCATGTAGTCTTTGACTTCAAGCCGGGTCGCCAACATTTGATGAGCAGCACCAATTGGGCTCGTTCTCAGGCCGCCCGTCAAGGTTGTATTCCACCAGGGACAGTCCATCTGGAAGCCATGTAGAGATACCTCGCGTCACCCCCTTGGTCGGACAGGCCTTAGCAGCATGCTCAGGTCACCGAGGTCGTAGCTCGCCTCGCTTTGCAAATCTGTCTCTTGGAGACGGCAACCACATACTTCGCAAAAGATGCCAACATTGCTGTGTGACGCCGTGCTAGCTCGTTCGGGACGAATCAATAGCTGAGGCAGGCGTGCTACTATGGTGGAGTCGGTCTCGGACGATCTGCAGAGACCGGATTATCGATAACTGACACGGAGATCATCCCCGCTATACTACTGGTATGCGGCTGGGTACGCGGCTGGCACAGGCCTTGAGCTTTCCGACTTTTCAGAGAATCCGCACAGGGCTGCAGGCTGTGACTCGCTGGTCTTGCAGACGATACATCTCTCGGCTAACACTGCAACATAGCGTAAGTGCTCCGCTGGGTACCTCACGCCCCCGACTCGCCTTGGCCTGCTGCCTCTGACCTTGCCCCCCTGCTTCCGGGTCCATGACCGCGATCCCTGTCAAGTACTTTTTCGTCACTGCGAGTGGTCCCCTCTGACGCCCCCTCTTCCCGTACACCCACCCCTCTTCATCTGATCAGCGTATTCCTGGTGACTGTTGGAATCGCGCCAGTGTGCATGCTACGTTCCTCATTGGGTGGGCTGCAGACGAGCCGCATCGGATTTGTTGCAACGTGCCAGGGTCTGTAGGCCGGCCGTTGGAGCCTTGTCCTTCGCCGACGGACGACAAGAACAAGGATAACCTCCTTTCAAGGAGGAATTGGCGGTATCTTTTCGGGTCGTGTCCGGTGTTGTCCATGGCTTATTTTGTCCAATCGCGGGGCATCCGACGAACACCTGTACGTCCGGAATATGAAGCGTCTCCTGGAAAGGTCCTTCTTAGACCGTATCCGCCATGGCAGCCTCCACACGACGGGAGGGTCCAAGGAACCGGCCCTGCGCTCTTGTCTCCCCCAAGCGTTAAGTGACAAGGTAGTCGTCTACTGTCGATACAGGAAGCTCAGCCTGACGCAAAGCAGAAATCTACGATGGCGTCCAGCCGTGGCCATCGTCTGACATACCAACCGATCCAACGCGTTGTGTCTGAGGTGCGCATATAGGAGCCCACCAGTAACCTGACTAAAAGTACCAGAAACGAATCTTTCCACGAAAGGGCAGCCAAACCACCAAAGGCTTCGTCGAAACACGAATAGTTGATTAGGTTGATGGAGTAGCCCAACCGCCTGAACGAAGGCAAAGACCTGTCCGATGGAGTACGGGGACGTTTGCATGATAAGAATTGAGATGGAGCTGGGCCGGTGGCTTCGGAGTGCCGAGTATTGTCACCCCTTTCCCCTAGACTACGCAGCCGAGTCTCGATGCGCCACACAACACACTCTATATACGTACATGCTTTCAGTCCGGGGTCTACGTACGCCGCAGAACACCACCTAGAGCTCACTCGTGCATGACAATGACCCACGGCAAACCCGAGGCCATTCTCAGAGCACCTGCCAACGAAAACTTTCGCCGCTGATACCACGCCGATCACCAGGCGTTGGCACGTTGCAGCACCCGTCAATAGTTGCATTTGCCCACTCTTCATTCGTCACGGTAGCCAGGAGTATTGTGTATGGCAAGCATAGAACTTTGCATGTCGGACTAGACACGTTTCGATGCCTCGGACGCGAATCAGGCTCATAGTTCGAGGCGCTCATGCTCATCCTTGGCTACCCAACTGAAGTCCGCATACCCAGATACTGCTACTTCACTCAGAGCAATCCCCCTTACTCGGTCTATACCCTCCTTCCTACCTGCTCACACCATCACAACAATGTCTCATATCATGCTCAACCATGCGCGGCTTTCATCCTCACTCCTGGCTGCTGTACTCTCACTGATAGCACCCTTAACACCGGAGCACCGTATCTCGCCTTCGGCACTCTTTCTTCGGACCTCCTGCGCGCAACTGGCGATAACATGGATAAACATGTTGCATTTGTTGGCTTTATCTATCATGAGACGAGATACCGACAGTGTTCCTGTCTGGTGCGCTGTTCTCTTCGCGGCCTCAGGGGTTTTCCAGGTAGACAGGCTCTACGACGACTCGACCC